ACAAAATTAAGGAACAAATACAATATATTCTTATTTATAAACGAAGTAAAATGTTAAGAAATGAGCATTAATGAAATATTTTTATAATTACAGATGCAGTATTACCTTTATGATTAGATTTATATATATTTATCCTGTAATAATTTATATATGTTACAATAGCTTCAGGTACATCTGTGTGATTACAAATAGATTTGAGAAGAGGCATATGATTCTCTAACATTAATACTGTCTTTTCGAGTCTACAATTGTAAAAAGCAATTAAAGATGACAGGAACAAAGATAGATGACTTTTATTTTTAGCTGTAATTTTTGTCGTATCGCTCGCGATAAGATTAAATGCCAATTTAATGTTTTTACCTATTCACAAAAGTTTCATGCTTTAATTTTATCTTCTTGCACAAAGCATATATTTCCATTGATGCTTTCTGAAAATGAACAAGAGTGATAAGATCTTTTTCTTAGCCAAACAAATTTCCATTTTCAACGGCAAATATTGTGGTCTATTGGCAATCTGTTTGTATATACGTAAGATCTAAGTACTTACTCTTCTTTTACTCTTCAATTCTTCATAATCTAGATTGATGTAATATTTTTCTATATCCTGTAGGTCCATGCTTTCAGCAACAAGAAAATCTATTAGAACAATTAAAAAGATGTGTGTGTCTTCACGATTGAGAATTGCGTAGCAAATGTAACAATAATAGACGAAAACAATCATGCTCGCAGAAGAAAGATATTTTGCTTTTGAATTCGAACATTACATCGACGTCAAAGATATATTTGTAAATATCGTTTTATATCAAAATTTGATAGAAACATTGCTAGAACTTTACTAACCTCGTCATCGCGCGCGCGCGAAGGATGTAAATAATATTTTTTGTCAACGTTTTGCTTCTCGCTATCCACAAGCAATGCTGTACATAATATATCAATATCAGGATTATGATAACTTCAACTCTATCAATTTAATACTGATTTTACATTTAGCGTTTAATGCTTAATAATGACATAATAAGCGTTCTTAGCATTTTCTGCGATTTTTTATAAGAAATGTACATATATCTGAAACCATAAAATACTAAATATAATAAAAACGTTCAATTAAAAGAACTGCAAATTAAAAATTGAGACGTATATATTATATGTTATATATATATATATATATAAAAATTTGAAATTTAAGAAGACTATACTATCGACGATAATCAAATTCGGCCATTACTTCAGCATTTTCATATGGGTT